ACAAATTAGACTTTAAACTAAAATCAATCAAAAGAGATGAAGGAGGTCACTTCATACTCATCGGAGGAGAAATCAACCAAGATGAAGTCCCAACTCTGAACATCTATTGCCCAAATACAAGGCCATCCAAGCACATGAAAGAAACATTACTAAAATTCAAAGCACATATAAAACCTCACACACTTGTAGTGGAAGACTTCAACACCCCACTCTCACCACTAGACAGGACCACAAGACAGCAACTTAAAAAGAATACAAAGGACCTAATAGAAGTTATGACCCAACTGGGTTTAACAGATATCTATAGAACACTCCATCCAAACACAAAAGAATATACCTTCTTCTCAGCTCCACACAGAACCTTCTCAAAAATAGACCACATACTTGACAACATAGGAAACCTCAACAGATACAAAAAAATGGATAACTCCATGTATCTTATCAGACCATCATGCATTAAAGTGAGAATTCAACAATAACACAAACCACAAAAAACCTGCAAACTCATGGAAATTGAATAATACACTATTGCACCACTCCTGCATCAAAGAAGAAATAAAAAAAGAAATTAAAGAATTCCTAGGATTCAATGAGAATGAAAACACAACATACCCAAAATTATGGTACATTTTGAAAGCTGTGCTAAGTGCCCACATGAAGAAACTGGAGCATAGTCACACTAGAGAATTAACAGCACAACTGAAAGATCTAGAACAAAAGGAAGCAAACTCACCCCAGAGGAGCAGATGCCAAGAAATAATTAAATTGAGGGCTGAAATCAATAAGTACAAACTAGGAAAACAACACAAAGAATCAATGTAACAAAGAGTTGGTTCTTTGAGAAAATCAACAAAATAACCAAACCTTTATCCAAACATACCAAAAGGCAGAGTATCAACATGCAAATTAACAAAATCTGAAATGAAAAGGGAGACATAACAACAGACACTGAGGAAATCTAGAGAATCATCAGGTCATATTTTGAAAAGCTGTACTCCACAAAATTTGAAAATTTAAAGGAAATGGACAATTTTCTGGATAAATATCACTTACCAAAATTAAATCAAGAACAGATAAGCAATTTAAATAGTCCTATAACACTAAAGGAAATAGAAGCAGTCATCAAAATCTCCCAACCAAAAATATCCCTGGGCCACATGGCTTCAGTGCAGATTTTTACCAGGAATTCGAAGAACAGGTTATACCAATTCTCCTCAAAGTAGTCCATGCAATAGAAGCAGAAGGGTCTTTGCCAAACTCTTTTTGTGAGGCTTCAATAACATTGATACCCAAGCCACACAAAGATGCAACTAAGAAAGAGAACTTCAGACCAATATCCCTCATGAACATTGATGCAAAAATACTCAATAAAATACTGGCAAATCAGATCCAAGAACACATCATGAAACTCATCACCACAATCAAGTAGGCTTCATTCCAGGGATGCAGGGATGGTTCAACATATGAAAATCCATCAATATAATCCACTATATAAACAAGCTGAGAAACAAAAATCACATGATCATCTCACTAGATGCTGAAAAAGCCTTTGACAAAATCCAACACCCTTTTATGGTAAATGTCTTGGAGAGATCCGGGATAACAGGTGTATACCTAAACATCATAAAAGCTACATACAGCAAACCAACAGACAACATCAAACTGAATGGAGAGAAACTCAAGGCAATTCCTCTAAGATCAGGAACAAGGCAAGGCTGTCCCCTCCCCCCATATCTCTTCAATATTGTACTGGAAGTTTTAGCTAGAGCAATAAGACAACAAAAAGAGATCAAGGGGATACAAATTGGAAAGGAAGAGGTAAACTTTCACTATTTGCTAATGATATGATAGTTTATTTAAGTGACCCAAAAAACTCTACCAGGTAACACTTGCAGCTGATAAACACCTTCAGCAATGTGGCAGGCTACAGGATCAACTCAAGAAAATCAGTAGCCCTACTATATACAGATGATAAAAGGGCTGAGGGAGAAATCAGAGAAACATCACCTTTTACAATTGCCACAAACAACATAAAGTACCTGGGGGTAACGCTAACCAAACAAGTGACAAGAACTGTATCACAAGAACTTAGAGTCTTTAAAGAAAGAAATTAAAGAAGATACCAGGAAGTGGAAAGATCTCCCATACTCTTGGACAGTAGGATCAATGTAGTAAAAATGGCAATCCTGCCAAAAGCAATCTACAGACTCAATGCAATCCCCATTAAAATACCAGCACAATTCTTCACAGACCTTGAAAGAACAATTCTCAACTTTATATGGCAAAACAAAAAACTAAGGATAGCCAAGACAATCTTGCTCAACAAAGAAAAGATTGGAGACATCACCATCCCTGACTTTAAGCTCTATTATAGAGCTATAGTCCTGAAAACAGTTTGGTATTGGCATAAAAATAGACAGGTAGACCAATGGAATCGTACTGAAAACTCTGAGATTAATCCACAAAACTATGAACAGATGGCTTTCAACAAAGAAGTTAAAATTATAAAATGGAAAAAATAGCATCTTCAACAAATGGTGCTGTCATAACTGGATGCTGGCATACAGAAGACTGCAGATAGATCCATGTCTATCACCATGTACAAAACTTAAGTCTAAATGGATCAAAGACCTCAGCATAAATCCAGCCACACTGAATCTGTTAGAAGAGAAAGTGGGTGGTACCCTTGAACGAATTGTACAGGAGATGCTTCCTGAACATAACACCAGTAGCATAAACACTGAGATCAACAATTAATAAATGGGACCTCCTGAAACTGAGGAGTTTCTGTAAGGCAAAGGACACAGCAAGACAAAAAGGCAGCCCACAGAATGGGAAAAGATATGCACTAACCCCACATCTGACAGAGGACTGATCTCCAAAATTTACAAAGAACTCAAGAAGCAAGTCTCCAAAACACCAAAGGATCCAATTAAAACGTGTTGCACTGTACTAAATAGAGAATTCTCAATAGAGGAGTATAAAATGGCTGAGAGACACTTGAGAAATTGCCAACATCATCAGCCATTAGGGAAATGCAAATCAAAGCAATTCTGAGATATCATCTTACTCCTGTCAGAATGGCTAAAATCAAAAACATCAATGACAGTTTTTGCTGGAGAGAATGTGGAAAAAGGGGAACACTCCTCCATTGATGTGGGTAGTGCCAACTCGTACAGACACTATGGAAATCAGTATGGAGATTCCTCAGAAAAATGGGAATCATCTACCACAAGACCCAGCAATTCCACTCTAGGCATATACCCAAAAGATGCACATTCATACAACAAGGACATTTGTTCCACTATGTTCATAGCAGGATTATTTGTAATAGCTAGATCCTGGAAACAACCTAGATGCCCCACAACTGAAGAGTGGATAGAGAAAATGTGGTACATTTACACAGTGGAGTACTACTCAGGGGAGAAAAACAATGGCATCTTGAAATTTGCAGGCAAATGGATGGCACTAGAACAATCCTAAATGAGGTAACCCAGACACAAAAAGACAAACATGGTATGTACCCACTCATATTTGGATTTTAGATCTGGATCAGGGGAATGTCAGCCTACAATCCCAGTGTCAGTGAATCTAGGAAACAAGGAAGTTCCCCAGAGAGATGCATGATACCCCAGAGAAGTGGAATGAGGCAAGATCTCCTAGCAGATTGGGAACATCGGCGGAGGGGAGAGGGGACCAAGAAAAAGGGAAGGGAATAAGAGGAGGTGAGAAGAAGGTAGAGGGTAGCAGGAAGCTTGAGTCCAGGTAAGAATAGAGGAGAGCAGTATGAGAGATACCATAACAGATCGAGTCATTATAGGCTTGAGGAGAGATCTGACACTAGTAAGATCTCCAGAGATCTACAAGAATAACCACAACTGGCAAACTAAGCAATAGCAGAGAGACTACATTAATAGCCCCTTCTTGATGATAAGGTTGATGACTTCCTTATATGCCATCCTAGAACCTTCATCTAGTGACTGATGAAAGCAGAGGCAGATACCCACAGCTAAACACTGAACTGAACTCCTGGAACCTAGTGACAGAGATGGTGTAGTGATGAGCAAAGGGGTCAAGAGCATGAAGGTGAAACCCACAAATACAGCTGACCAGATAGGGGGAGCTCTTGAATCCCAGGCTGATGGCTGAGAGGCCAGTAGGGGACTGATCCAGACTCCATGAATGTAGTACCATTGAGGAGGCCACAGAAATCACTGGGGCCTTGGGTAGTAGATCAGTGTTTATCATGGTGTATGAATGATCTTTGGGAGCCCATCCCAAATAGAGGGATGCCTGGATACATGGGGAGGGGCCTAGGTCCTTCCCTGGATGAAATGACAGAGTTTGGAGATCCCCACAAGGAGGGATTCACCCTCCCTGGGGAGTGATGTGGGGATTGGGTTGGGGGCTGGGAGGGCTGACAGAGGGACAAGGGAGAAGGAGTGGGAAAGGAAGCTGGGATTGACATGTGAATCATTCATGTTTATAATTTAAATAAAAACAAATATTGAGGAAAAAAGATATTCTTGTGCCTTGTCTTACTATACACTCCTTTGCCATGTATGGTACTTATTCCCTGGAGTACTGCTTTTATGGAGGGGTGCTGGAAGCATAGACAATCTGGGAGAGAGGGTAGGTAATGGGGATGCAATTATGAAAGCGTCAGTTTGTTTAGTCTCAACACTCAATTTCTATCACAGTAACACATTCACTCAAACATCAAAGGCAAGACACGAACTATTTCAAATCGTATTGTATATTAGGAGAAGAAAAGAACTTAAAGTCTGGAGTAATGTCCAATATGCAAATCTTGTAAAATAAGTGGTTGTGTAGAAGATTATAGAAAACAATATACAGAAAGTAGTGTATATGATAATTCTAGGCATCATCACTAGAAGAAATAGTGAGTGGCTAGGTAATGCAGCCAACTTGCATGGCATCATAATAGAGGTGTCTGCACCAACACTACAGCAGTCAGTTTCAGCTTAAGAAATGTTGGTTCAGAAAGGTGCTTTCTCCTTTAACTTTTGAAGTGAATTTCTCTCTGGTCTTATCAAAATTATGTAGCACTTGGGGACAAAGATGCATCCCAGCAAGCCTGTACTGGAGGCCAAGATGGAGAAGACCTCCACAGCCACCATGACCTTGCCCTTGGTGCTGTGGTAGACAGGGAGAAAGGTGACCCAGACACTGCAGAACAAGAGCATGCTGAAGGTCAGAAACTTGGCCTCATTAAATGTGTCAGGGAGATTCCTGGACAAGAAAGCCAAAATGAATGTTCCGAAGGCAAGTATGCCATGGTATACCAAGACACAATAGAATGCAGTAACTGAGCCCTTGTCACACATAATGATAACCTGGCCATGTTCAGAATGTACATCAATGTCAATAGAGGGAGGAGAAAATCCCAGCCAGATCAAACAGAGGAATATTTGGAAGAGGGTACAGATGACAACGATGTACTTAGGTGTTCCTGAAATCAGGAAGTACCTCATTCTTCTTCCAGGGGCTGTGACTTTGAAAGCCAGAAGCACAGTAACTGTTTTGGCCAACACAGTGGAAACAGCCACAGTGAATAAAACTCCAAAAATCATTTGCTGCAGGATGCATGTAGCTACATTGGGATGACCCATAAAGAGCAAGGGACACAGAAAACAAAAGATGAGTGAGATGAGCAAGGTGTAGCTAAGATTTCTGTTATTGGCCTTCACAATGGGAGTGTCACGGTGTTTCACAAAGACCCCAAGAATTACAGATGTGAATGCGGAGAAGCACAAGGATATTAAAGCCAGAACCATCCCTAAAGGGTCTTCATAGCTCAGAAATGTCACAGATTTCTGAAAACACTGGCTGTGGTCTGCATTAGCATACATGTCCTCTGGACACTTCACGCACTGATCCACATCTGGTAGAGAAAGGAAAGAATGGTGCACCTTCATCATTTTTATTGAAAGACTATTTCAATTAAGTGTGGTGAAACAGCATTACAATGACTGTTTGGTTTCTGAGTATTTCGTTGAAAGATCATGCTGCATAGCAATGCTTCCATTTTACAATACTCATGCATTATCTTCATGTGTAATGAAACCACTACTGTGTGTCAGTGATTCCACTTTCATCTTATAAGGAAATCACAGATATTTTCAGTGCATTTTAGATGCTAAGATTAACTCACTTACAGTGGATATGTGACCGAAGCTGAAGTCACTAACCATTGTTCTGCAGAGAGTGTATTATAAAATCTCAGATTTCATAGGTGCATTTTCTGCTGGGGTCTTTTTTTGTCTATTTTATGAATGCTGTCTACAAGATAGATGGAGACCATGTCTTATACTGGGAAAGGTCCTGTGATACATTTTATAATTTGAATATTTTAGCCCAAAAGCACTGATGTAAAAGTAACACTAAACAGAATGAGTAGGTATTCTCAGAGACAGCAAAAAGACACCCCATGATGAAGTTACAAAAGGATAGCATATTTATTTGCCCCAGAGGATAACGGTGAGGGTTAAGAGACAACACCGGGATATAAAGGATGAGGGAGAGAGGAAAGGAACACAGGAGAATGAGGAGTATTTGGTCATGGAGGACGAAGAACTGCCTATGGATAGTGAGGAGACAAATGGGCCCTGTAGGAAACTGACAGTTTATAGAAGTAAGACTTTGTAAAAAAAAAAGGGGGGGACCATTTCTTAGGGTGGAGTGTTTAACTTGATTTTCAGGTTCATTAGGACAGTCACAAGTGTCTTACGCTAACTGGACTTGAATACTTCAATAGCTGAATCTTGTTAGTCAGACTCAAGAGGAGGGAACAGACCTGTGTGTCTAGCTTTAATCATGTAACAGTCAGATGGGCAGTGGTGGCAGTGCCCTCCTGGTCCTTGGGAGATATAGGCAGGCAGATCCTGGTGAGGTCAAAGTCAGCCTTCTCTACAGAGGTAGTAACAAGACAGCCAGGGCTACACCAAGAAGCCCCAATGTGGGGGAGGAGCAGGGAAGTAGGAGAAAGAGGAGGGAAAAGTATAGTGGGAGAACATAAGGGATGAAGAAGGTCAAGTTGGGGCAAGGACAGAGAAGGAGAGCAAGAAAAGAGATACCTTGATAGAGGGATCTATTATGGGCTTAACTAGAAACCTGGAACTAGGGAAATTCCCAGCAATCCAGATGGATGACCCAACTAAGAATCTAAGCAATAGTACAGAGGCTACCTTAAATACCCTTACCCTATAATGAGATTGACCATTACCTTAAATACCATCATGGAGCCTTCGTCCTGTAGGTGATGGAAACAGAAACAGAGATTCACAGCTAAGTACTGAGTCAAACTCCTAGAATCCAGCTGTAGTGAGGGAGGAGTGATGAGCCAAGGGGTCAAGACCATGCTGAGGAAACCCACAGAAACAGCTGACTTGAGAAAGTGGGAATTCACTAATTCCCAAATTACAGTTGGGAAACCTGCATGGGACCAAACCACGTCCCCTGAAATAGGCCCAGTGGGTGTCCATTGGGGGACTTCAACAGTGTATGGGGTCACTGTAGTGGAACCAGTGTTTATCCCTAGTGCATGATGTGTTTTTGGAGCCCATTCCCTATGGAGCAACATTATCTCAGTCTAGATAAAAGAGGAAAGGCCTTGGATCTGCCCCAAATGATGTGAAAGACTTTCATGATCCACCATGGGATACCTCACCCTCCCTGAGGACAGGATGGGGTGGGATGGAGTGATGGTGGGGTGGGGATTGGAAGATGGGGGTAGAGAGAACTGGTGTTGGTATAGAAAATCAGGTTGGTTTAATTTAAATAAAAAGAATTTAATTATCTTAGGGTTTCTATTGCGTGGAGAGAAACCATCACCATGGCTACTTTTATGAAGAAAACCATTTAAATTTGTGACTTATAGTTTAGAGGTTCTGTCCATTATCATCATGTTGGAATGTGGTCGTATGCAGGCAGACATGGTGCTGTAGAAGAAGCATATACTTACACCTCTTTGAACCATGGTTAACAGTAAGCAAACTGACCAATGGATGTGGCTTGATTATATCTGAGACCTCAAACTCTGCCTGCACAGTGACACAGTTCTTCCAAAGAGACCATACCTTCTCCAGCAAGGCCACATCTGCTAATAAGACCACTCCTCATTATCTTATTGGTGTCAATTATATTCAAAAAACCATACTAATGTAAATTGTTTTTAACAAGGCAAAGAGAAATGGGGAGGAAGGCAGGGCTCAATAGAGATATGTTTGCCAAGCTCTGGCTGGCTAGAGTTCCTTCAGAATCATTAAGTTGTATGTATATATTTATTTGTATTTGTGTGTGCGTGTAGAGTAACAAAAGACCTCATGGATATAAGAGTGATTGTATTTATAGGGAGGAATTAGGAGGGCAAAATGATAGAAGAAAGCTATAAATATAATTGTGATGTTGAAAACTGCAAAAATAATTAAACAAATTAAATATATATTCACTGAGTTGTATGCTCATCTGGCAGTAGAGACTGTACTCTTGAATCCTGTTCAAGAAAACATTAACCCATTACTCAAGGAAGAAACTACTGTATATATTAAGCATTAAAATGCCCTACATCATGATTCCATCAACTTTGGGAACAGACAAGCACTTTCCTCATTCCCTAATTTTGATCTATGCGAGACCCAGACTCTGAGTGTATTCAAGTGTGAATATGATATTGAAATAATCCTATGGGCAGCAAGCACTCACTTGTCTCATTAGAAACTTCATTTTCCAGGCATTGACTGCAATCAAAACAGCAGGCTGACATTCCCTCCTGCCACAATTTTCTGAATCCAGGACCACAATCAGCACTGCATACAGAGGGCGGCATCTGAGGAAAATTATGCACATACTGATATTGTGAGGTTTACCTACTCCTTCCATAACTATATTATATTAGGTCATTGAAATATTAATAAGCTAGTTATATATACCAAAGGAGTGACCATATTTCACTTAGTATATTATATAATGTCATATATACGAATGTGTGGAAACAAGTTAATACAAAGTTGAAGAGCTCGGAATAGTAGAAATTTAGGAAAATAATGGATATTTGCTATGGGGAACATACTATGGATATTGTAAACTGGCTTTCTAGTCAATATTCATCAACATGATACAAAGCACATTAAAAAGAGTGAACCATAAGTTAAAAACAGTCTTTTCACTAGTCTAGCCCATCATCATATCTGTAAAACATTTTATTAACTGGTATTTGATGTAGGAGTGCCCAGTCCACTGTGGGCAAGGCTGTCCTTGGGAAAGGGTATATGAGAAATCAAGCAAAGCAAAACAGTAAGCTGTGTTCCTTCGGGCTCTGTGATTTTGTTGCAGTTGCTTGATACCTGCATTGTCTTCCATTGACTTAACCCATAAGACAAATGGACAATTCAGCTTCACTGTGTTTATGGTTTGTTTAGTCACAGCAATAGCTTAGTGAGCTGGGACTAATGGGCATCTAAAATAGGGTAAGTAGCTCCTAAAATCTCTGATAGCAGAAAGGATGTCCAATTAAATAGCACCGTGAATCATGACAAACAGTATGTGAAGACAAGAACAGCTAAATAGGCAGTGCTTAGTGCATTTGTGGTGCTGAAGTGATGAGCTGATTTCTATTGAGATGGAAGGTGGAGTGGGTCTTGAATTGAAAATGCCTTGCAAAGGCTGGAAACACTAGGGCAATCTGAAGAAATTTAGATTTCTTAAAGTTAATTAATAGATTTCTTAAAGTTTAAAATAAAAGGCTTTGAATCACCAAACGCATAGTTAGAGGGATCTATATGTTGCTTAAGAAAGCTGCTGTTCATTGCATGCTCTTTTTCCATCCTTTGTTTACTAGAGAGTTCTGTGTTGAGACCTCGGTGTTCCCTTGCATATGCTCTCCAATATTCTCCACAATATGGTTACCTACACATCTTCCCTTTCTTTTGCAGTTCCCTTGAAACAAGGTCTCACATTGTTTTGCTGGTAGACCTCTACTCCCTATGTAGACTAGTCTGACTTAGTTATCACAGATATCTGCATCTCCTGCCTCTTGAATTCTGGGATTAAGTGTGTATGCTACCAATGGGCACATAACTTCCCTTCTTTTCTGTATCTGATGTTTACCATTTATTTGAACTTTCCAAAATACTAAGGATTATTTGAAGGAGAATGGAGAAAATATACATACTTGTCTACTGTCTTCCCACATGTTTTGAGGCAAGGTCTCTCTATACAACCATAATTGGCATGGACTTGCTATGTAGGCCAGGCTGGACATGAACAGAAAGGATTTTGCCTGCTTCTGCCTACCACCAGATACATCTGTAATCACTTTTGATTTTAGTGGACTTCTTTGGGTTTCTCTACATGTAATACAATGTTGTCAATAGCATTGCCCCTAAATTTTGTTAATGTGATTGCACTAGAAAACTTAATTAATGAATAAAAAGAAACCCTTGTTAAGTTAAGATTTATTCCTTCCACTGCATCAGCTTTTTGTTTGCTTTAAATTTTAACTCTAAATGGATGCTGAACTTTGGTAAGGGCCATTTCTAAATTTATTTGGCTGTTTATGTACATCTATCCTTGAGTCTGTTTATGTGACACAGTTACTTAACAACAGATAGAAAGGTGAGACAAATCAGGCAAAGATCAAACACTTCATTTTTCTACATCCATATATAGGTTTCCATCAGATTTTGTAGCCTATATTATAGGTGGATTTTCCAAGATCAAGTGATCTGGATTAAAATTGTGTCTTCACAATTTAAGATCTAGATTACAAAAATAATGCCTTTTCCCAGGTAAAAAGATCTCAATTAAGCCAATTCTTTCTTTCCTTCTTAATTTCTTAAAGAAAATGTTTCTCTTCATAGCCCTGCCTGTCCTGGAAATTGTTCTGAAGTATAGGCTGGCCTAGAACTCAGAGAATCACCTGCCTGTGTCTCAGAGTACTGAGATTAAAGACATGTGCCACCACTGCCCTATATAAGGCATGTCTTCCTGTCACAAAGACCTGGATCACAAGTGTATATTTCTATTTCAAATTAAGGCAAAATCCTTCACAAGTGTGCAATTCATTTTGGGTTTTGGTAAATTCCAGATGTAGTCAACTTAATACCCATGAATAGGCATCATGATCTCCTTCCATCATACAGGATAGCTGTGTTGAGCGTAGTAACTGAGGTTGACAATTATGACCATAACTGGTTGAAATGCATCCATGTATCTCTACCTTTTTCATAGAGTTCATGAAGGAAACTGTTCTTATTGAGAAGGAGCTTTCTATGAACTGTGCTTCTCTCTTGCAGCCTACATCTCTTTTTCCTGTATATTTCCATTTTTAAGTAAAATACTTCAGGTCAAGATTCTTTTCTGGATGACAGGGATAAATGCTGATCTGCCCTGTCATCCAGATGGACTTTGGGAGCCCATTCCAGTGGAGGGATGCTGTCTCCACTTGTACACATGGGGGAGGGTCTAGGCCCTGCCCGGGATCATATGACAGACTTTCGAGATCTCCCATGAAGATCCTCACCCTCCTTGGAGAGTGGAGTGGGGATTTATAAAGGGGTTGGGGGAGGAAATGAGGGAGAAGGAGCTGGGATTGACATGTGAAGCAAACTTGTTTCTAATTTAAAATAAATTTTAAAAAAGAGGAAAATAAAATGTTTTGATAGAAAATAGATTCTTTTCTGATATTGTGTGTTTGGTATTTGAATGCCTCCTGGCTCTATATAGCCACATGTCCCACTGTATTTTGGAAAATTACTATTACATCTTATTTAATATACTGTTGATGCCTATGGTATTTCTTTTCTTCTCTCCTTTGTTTGTAAATTTGAACCTTTAATTGTATTCTCTTGGTCTCATATATCCTGCATTTTTCATTTTACCTTTGTCATACTTTCAGCTTTCAGATGGTTCTGCCTTGTATTCGAGCCCTGCCATCCTCTCTTCACCTTGAAGTATTCTCTTAGTGATATGTTTCACTAAGATTTTTATTGGATTTCTTTTTTATTGGATTTCTTTTGTCTTTCCTTTATATGTTTCAGTTTGATTTTTCATTATTTTGTACCTTTTATAATGTGTGTGTCATATTCTGTCTCTGTTCTTTTTGTATGCATGTTTTTGTGATTGCATTCTACTCTCCTGGAGATGATTTGCTTCCTGTTTGATTTTCAGTCTCTTATTGAATTCTTTGTTTACTATTCATTGAACATACTCTCATTTCAACGTATGACTACAACATTTGGAGTTGTGTTGTTTTGATATCTTTGGGGTTTTTTGTTCATTGAACTATGAATATCTGAGAGTAGACAAATTGTTGCTTTTTTAATCTTCAGTATTTTTACAGTGGATGTTTTTGTCATGCTGAAGTGAGGACTTGTTAGAGCACACATGAAATAGTATTACTCTACTTTGAATGGATATATAGCTCAGGTTTTATACCTTCAGGCCATATGTCCTGTTCCCTAAGAATGACTCTACTCATGATTCTGAGAAGAATATTAAGTGTACATTTCATATTATCTGAGCTATGAGAAATATAACTTCAAATCAAATTTTAAGACTTTTCTTAAATTAACTCTAAAAATTCAAGCTACTATGCAATTGGGTAGTTTGAATCAGATGCTTTAAAATCACCTAAATCTGCTGGGGAGTGCCAGCTTACAATCCCATGGCCAGAGAGTCTGGGAAACAGAACCTTCATTCAGTGGCTGATGAAAGCAGAGGCAGACTCCCATGGCTAAGCACTGAGCTGAACTCAAGAAATCTAGTGACAGAGAGGGAGGACTGATGACCAAAGGGATTAAGACTGGGCTGGTTTAATCCCCAGAAACAGCTGACCTGACAAGGGTTAGCTCTTGAATCCTAGACTGATGCCTGGGAATCCAGCATGGGACTGATCAAGACCCCCCGAATGTGGGTGTCAGTGAGGAGGCCTAGGTAATCTATTGAGCCTTGGGTAGTAGATCAGTATTTATCCCAGGTATACAAATAGACTTTGAACTCCCATCCAACAATGAGAGATGCACTCTCACCCTGAACTCTTGGGGGAGGGTACAGGCCCTGTCCTGGATGAAATGACAGACTATGGACACCCCCACGGAGGGCCTCACCCTCCCTGGGGAAATGAGGAGATATTGGGGGGGTGGTAGGAGGGCACAGGAGGAGGGGAGGGAAAGGGAGAGGGACCTGGAATTCACATGTGAAGCAACCTTGTTTCTACTTTAAATTTAAATTTAAAAAGAAAAAAAAGAAAAATCACCCAAATCTGAATTTGGACATATCTTATAGCTAAGACACATAATTGAATATATAATTTTTAAAATTTTAAAAGCCAGTTTGTTTGCTACCAATAATTCTATCCATGCAGATAAGGAAAATAGACACATATATTAGTTTGAATGAACTGTAAAAGAGTTAATGGGACCAGGAAATATTCCCCTTATGGTCAATTTCTTTTACAAGATAAGTTTCAGGCATGGTGAAATTGCTCAGCTGTCAATAACAGTTACTAATCACAAGCAAGGTTCACGATTGCTTCCTGGAGACCACTATGTGACACTAAGCTGTCTCTAGATCCCAGGGTCAAAACAATGTTCTGGCATTCATATGTACCACACATGCCAGTGTTGCACAGACATGTGCAGACAAAATACCTATCTCTGTGTAACGAAAATAAAAAGAAAGATAAAAAAAAGTCATTCTGGTCTTACCCTTCCACCCTCTAGTACAGAGATGAGTCCCAAGGGATCTTCTATCCCACCTTCATCACTTTGAGTCCCCTGACCTAACGCTGACAGACCATTCATGCCACTGAATTCCCCAAAAGGGTCT